TCTTTTTCTTCTGCAGACTTCAGATGGTCAGAAATTGTAAACACAATATTAAAACAGCAGGGTGACATGAGAAATAGTGAAAATATGACATGGGATGAAAAATGTAAAGTTCTTTCTAGCAATCCTGTTACAGCAGCAAGAATGTTTGATCATAGATTCCATACATTTCTGAAAAGTGTTATGTCAAAAGCTGAACCAATAGGGAAAATAATCGACTATTTTTACCGAGTTGAATTTCAACAAAGAGGTTCTCCCCACACTCATTGTTTGTTTTGGGTAGAAAATGCTCCAAAATTTGGCAAAGATGAGAATGAGGAAGTTGTCACTTTTATTGACAAGTACATTACATGTAAGATACCAGATGAAAAGGAAGACAAATAGTTGCATGACATTGTTATGGCAGTACACCAACACAGCAAAAAGCATTCAAAATCTTGTAAAAAAAAAGAAACAGTATGTCGTTTTAATTTTCCAAGACCTCCCTCAACTAGAACATTTATCTCAGAACCAAGTGATCCAGATAAGGATTCAGAGGAAGATGAAGAATTAGCAAAGGAAATATTGTCAGACTTATTTGAAGTTATAAAAAAGCATGAAGATGAAAACTTAGATGTATCTGAAATTTTCAAAAAGGCAGGTCTAACTCATGAGAGCTTTGAACAATATTTTTGTTTCATCACAAATCGAAATACAGTAGTTCTAAAGCGTCAACCAAATGAAATATACACCAATCAGTATAACACACATCTTTTGAAGGCTTGGAATGCAAACATGGACATACAGTATATTTTGGACGCATTTTCCTGTGTTGTTTATATTATAAGTTACATAAGTAAAGCTGATCGAGAACTAGGATTACTCCTCCAACAGACCAAAAATGAAGCTGAGGAAGGAAATTTAAATGCTCAGCAGACTATGAAAAAAATTGGAACTACAAACTTACACCATAGAGAGATAAGTGCGCAGGAAGCAGTATTTAGAGTAATTGGATTAAGATTAAGAGAATGTTCAAGGAAAGTAGAATTTATACCTGTTGGTGAAAATCCATGTAGAATGAGCATTCCTTTGAAAGAACTGGAGAAACAACAAAGTAACAAGTCCTCAAAAAGAAAAAGACATAATAGTGACAGTGAAGATGAAGATGAAGATGAGAATAGAACTTGGATGAACAATATTGTTGAAAGATATAAAGGTAAACCACATATTGATATCTTTATCAAACTTTGTCTTGCAAGATTCTGTTCTGAAAACAGTGTTATACTAGAATCACAATTACCACAGAAAGTTAATAAAGAAACAACCTTCAAACTTGATGGCTCACTTGGATATATTAGAAAGCCCACAAGAACCTCACCTGCAGTTATAAAATATCCCCGTTTCCCTCAGGAAAATTCCCAAGAAAAATACTATCAAAGCATTTTGCAACTTTATTTGCCATACAGATATGATGAACAGTTAAAACCACCACTATTTCAAACATATGAGAATTTCTTCATCAGTGGTATAATTAAGTTTGAAGGGGATAACTCATTAAGTTCTTTAAAAGAAATTGTTATAAAAAACATGTCAGATTTTGTGAAAAATGGTCATGATTTAGAGGAAGCAGAAAAGCAATTTCATGAAAAAGATCCAAAATAAGATGCTTGGTGTGAGTTATGCCCAGAAACAGAAGTGAATAGAAGAGAATGTATAGTTGAAGGTAAAGTAACAAGTGTGATTGAGGAAGATTTATCAATACCAGATTTGAATAATGAAAAGAGCTCATCATCTGTTGGAAGTAATTTGCTGTCTGTTTCACTCACAAAATATGAAATTATCCCGAGGCTTAGAAGTTTAATGTGAAACAGAGAAGAATTCTTTATAAAGTAAGAGATTGGTGCATACAGAAATCAAATGGAAAAACACCAGAGCCTTTACATGTATTTATCACTGGAGGAGCTGGAACGGGTAAAAGTCACTTGATCAAGTGTATTCAATATGAAGCAACACGAATATTAGCACACACTACAAATAATCCAGATGATCTCACAGTTCTGTTAACAGCTCCAACTGGAACAGCTGCATTTAATATCCATGGATTGGCAATTCAAAGTGCTCTTGGAATTTTCAAATCACTTTCACCTGATCATGCAACTCGAAGTGAAGACAAAATTAATTCACTCAGAACAAAGTTAGAAAATTTGCATATCTTGATTATTGATGAAATATCTATGGTCAATAAGAAATTGTTGTTTTTCGTTCATGAGCGACTTCGACAAGTGAAAAAAAAGACCAGACAAATGTTTATTTGGAGGTTTTTCAGTAATTGCTGTTGGCGATTTTTATCAGTTACCACCTGTTAGAACAAAAAGGGTAGACAAATTGTATGTAGATGATCCCTCTAATCTCTCAAATCAGCTATGGAATGGTTTGTTTGAAATTGCTGAGTTGGATGAATTAATGAGTCAACGTGAGGATGGAATGTTTGCAGAACTACTAAATAGATTGCGTGTTAAGCAGAAAAATGAATGTTTGATATCTTCTGATAAAGAAACGTTAAAACACTGCTTTGGTAATGGCTCCGATGAAGCCTTGCACATATAGTCCACAAATTCAGAGGTTGATAACTTTAACAAGGAGATGATAATGAAGCTATGTACAGAATCAAACCTAATCGAAGCACAAGACTTCCAAAAAGACAAAACTTCAGTAAAATTGACTATGAAAAAAGTCCATTGATCAAAGTCAGATGTATGTCTTCCAATATCTATTCTTTTAGCCGAGGGAGCAAGAGTAATGCTTATCAAGAATGAGGACACCGCAGATGGTTTAGTAAATGGTGTAATGGGAACAGTTATATCTATCACAGACTGCTCGCCAAACTCCCCCCCCCCCCCCAAGTACCATATACGTTCACTTTGACAATGAAAGAGTAGGAAGAAATGCAAAGGTACAAAAAATCATAAGTGGAAAACGCTGTGTTGGATTGAAATCTTCAAGTGAAGACATTCCTTTAAGCAATTGTGTACGAAAACAGTTTCCATTAAAGTTAGCCTGAGTTTGCACAATTCACAAAGTTCAAGGATTAACAGTTGAAGAATGTGTTATTGATCTAAATAAATGTTTCACATATGGTCAAGCATATGTTGCCCTTAGCAGAGTTACCTCAAAATCTGATCTACACATTAAAAGCATAGACACTGAAAATATTGACAAGAAAATCTTCTGTGATCCTGATATTGTAAAGGGTGTTTCAGAAATGACTAGATTTTTGCTTGAAATCGATGATGTCAGCAGAGGAACCTACACAATCTTTTCAAATAATGTATCACAACATTCAAGGTTTACAGACTCATGCAGAAGATTTGAAACATAATCCAGACTTTAGAAGTGCTGATTATATTTGTCTAACTGAAACCTGGGCTAATAAAGAACTCATTTGCTTTGAAATGATGGGATATGATGGTTTTCATTTGCCCAGATCTCTAGCTTTCGAAGATGATAATTCTTATTATTCATCTTTAAAGAAAATGCAGCATGGTGGTGTATGTGTTTTTAACAAGCTTTCTTCAGAAACTGAAATATGCAACTTGACCTCAAACTTAGAATGTATAGTTTTCAAGATAGCAAGTAAAAATATTTTAGTTGCTATTGTATACAGAACTCAGAAGTATAATCTAGGAAATTGTTGGAGAACTTGGAGATGTTATTATGTAAGCTAGAAGACTTATCAGAAAAAGTTGTTGTAATTGGTGATTTTAATCAAGATATTTTGAAAGGTGGTTGTACAGTATTTAATGTCATGTCATCAAAAGGCTTCAGACAGCTTGTTAATAGTCCAACAACAGAAGGTGGAACTCTTATTGACCATGTGTATGTAAAAGGATGTCTTGATACACAGATTGCTATTATTCCAACATATTACAGCTATAATGAGGCACTGAAAATAGTAAATCCATATGACTGAAATGGATAAGAGAAAAAAATATGTAGAACCATCAGAGCCATAAATATGAAAAGTATCAAACAAATGTCAGTTTTAAATTTGATTTTAAGCATATTATAAATTAAAAAAATTATGCCTCCTGAAGTCCAACCCTTCGTCCCCGTCGTAGGATGCGGATATCAGCACTAAAACATGATTTAGTGCTGATAACAAACAAGGCTCTGGCAACAAACACCATATATGACCATTGTAGTTGTTAAGGTGTTTCGTCATCCGGAATGTGTTTGAAATATTTGCCACTGGATGATAAACAAACAACAATTTAATCAATTAATCAAGATGAACGATTAGCATAGATAATTTCTTAAAGTTATACACATATTTCAATGTTTATTTCGTAATTCTATGTTGTATTCTTACTGCCACTATCAACGATTAACATTTAAAAATATCTTTACCAAAATAGTTATATGCAGCAGCATCAACATTCAATTTAAGACATTGTCCAGGAATTCTATATGTAATAATTGATCATCAAGATATATATTTTCCAGAATGAAAATCAACATTCTCTAGAAAATTTCCTCAGTAAGAACAGTATAAAACTCAATTGTTTTAGCTCTTGTGCATTGTTTAATATATAAAATTTGGAATTTCATAAGCACACGAAGTGTTCGAAATGGAATTCTAATTTTATGAATAACCGAAACAAGATATGAAAGTGTTATCTCTTGCTGCGCACGCAGCCTGACTAGCCAATCCCTAAGATAATGCATGTTCCACGTGCATTTCCTCATTCTCTTACTGAAGAGCGTCCAGTGAAGAGAAAAAAGAATAATTTGACTGCAAAATCTAAACATAGGCTCAACGAAACCAATCAAAAATAAACTTCAGGAAACGACTGAAATAAAACCCATTAAAGAAAACATGTCCTTCAGTGGATAATTGTCTCATTTATATTATACCACATTTCTCAATTATGTACTTCTTGTTAATTAATAAACCTGTTAACATTTGTGTATTTTTATTTTTGTTATCTATCTTAGAACACTGAAATAAAAAATACTCAAAGCAAAACATTTAATATCATTTATTTTGATACTCCTAGTCCAATCTTGGTCATCGATCTTTCTTGGTCCCACCAATACTTCTTGGACTGATAGGAATTCATCCCTGTTCCCTGGTTCTACTTCCCAGATCTGCAAAATACAGAGACAGAATGAAAGATGTGAATAGTGAGTATATCTAGTAAATAAAATAGAATAACCGATAAAATTGAAAGTGATTAAAGGCGAGGGAGGGAAGGAACACTTTCATATCTTGTTTCGGTGATTCATAAAATTAGAATTCCATTTCGCACACTTCGTGTGCTTATGAAATTCCAAATTTCATATCATAACCTAAACAAGATATTCCAGTGTTAGTTCAAAGCTTACCTAGTAAGTACTACTCGTTGAAAATTATTGGAAATTATAGGTTTACAGTAAAATCTCATAAAAGTAGACTCATTTGTCCATTTTGCCTGATCTATTACATCTTGGGTAGATAATCCAACGCGTTTTGCCTTTGAAGTAGAGGCTGAACGTGTCGAATGACCAGTAAAAAGGGATGAGAAACCAGATTTTTTAATTGTCTCTTTTAACCATCTTGCAACTGATGAAGGAACTATATGATGATGAGGTTTAACAACACTCAAAAGGAGCCACGATCTATCAATATTATCTCCTTGTTCTCTCCATGATTGTGTGCGAGACATATAGTCATTAATGCAAGTAACAACACATAAACTCTTTTCATTAGGGAAAGAGTTGAAAGCTATTGATTTAGTTTTAGAACCAGGACGACAAGTTTTGGTTAGTTTTGGTAACTCAAACAATATTTGTGAACCTTGTTGTTACATATATTGACAATTTAACATGCCTATTTCAGATGCTCTAATAGCTGAAGATAGAGCCAACAACATCACTAACTTCCATGAAAGGTGTTTAATGTCTAAAGCTTGATTTGTACCCCATGATAAAATTTCATTCAAGACAATATCAACATCCCAAGAAAACTCATATTTTGACGTTGATGTCCTTTCATTGAAAATGGCTCTCATATGTCGAATAATAAGAGGATGTTTTTCCTACTTGTAAACTACCAATTAATGGATGATTCTTTGAAATTGCAGACCTATAAGTATTTATTGTTCTATATTGTAAACCATCTTTGAACAAGTTTGTAAGAAATTCAATTACAGTGGCCAGAGGGGCCTGAAAAGGATTAACTGATTGTTCACTACACCAGCTGACCCATTTTCCCCAGGAGCTCTTGTAAGAAAGTTGGGTTCCTGGTCTCCATGCTTTTTCATGCAACTCTGCAGCTGCTTTTGATAGTCCCTCTGTAGTACTTCGTCCCCTGAAATTTTCCATGCCACAAGATTGAGAGACCTTGTTTGAATCAGTGGGTGTGGTTTCCCCTGGGGTGACATCAAAAGATTTGGAAATATTGGTATTTTTATTGGATCTTGTATTAACATTTCCAATAACATTGGATACCATGGTTGTGCTTGCCATGCAGGGGCTATTACTAATAACGTTGCCTTGTCCTTCCTGGCTTTTGAATGACAGCGACCTATCATTGAAAAAAGGGGGAAGGCATAGCCCTTTATTGTTGTCCATGGCATCAGAAATGCGTCTATCGCATGACTGATTGGATCTGGTTTCCAACTCACAATTTTTTTCAGTTTAAAATTTAGTCGTGAAGCAAACAGATCTATCTCTAGGGGACCTGTTTGTTCTTGAACTTGTTGAAAAATATTTTGATCAAGACTCCAATCGCTGGAGTCGTTTATATTTCTCGAGTGCCAGTCTGCTATAAGATTTTCTTTCCCTGGGAGGTGCTCTGCAGTGAGACTTATCTTCCTTGCTTGACACCAGTTCCACATGTTTTTCATTATTTGATTTAAATCTTTTGATTTTGTGCCCCCCCCCCCCCCCCCCCCCCCATTCTGTTTATGTATGATATTGCTGAAGTATTGTCTATTCTTAAATGAATGGCCAAATGAAGCCTTTCTTTTGCGAATGTTTGCACTGCAAGAAAAGCTGCCAATAGTTCTTTTGCGTTGATATGGAAATTTGATTCTTGCTTTCCCCATATGCCACCTGTACTTTCGTCTTAAAAAGAAGCCCCCAGCCTAAATTTGAGGCGTCTGATGTGATCACAATATCTGGACAAGGCGTTATTATTGCCTTTCCATTGAACTCTTCTATTTTTGTTACCTACCAAATTAATTCGTCTCTTGCTGTTTGTGAGAATTATTTTTGTTCGTAGGACTTTCTCTTCAACAGACCCTTTATTTGATCCATTTGAAGAAAACGACTTTGCAAATTTGCTGGAAATATTGCTTGCATAGAGGATGACAGCTTTCCTGTCAACTGTGCTTATTGCCTTAGTGTCACAATGTCTGCACTTAACATTTCTCTGAATTTTGTTTTTATCTGAGATACCTTTTCTGTTGGTAGATAGAACATCATTTCTACTGAATTTATCTGAAAACCCAGAAACTCTATCTTTTGAGTTGGATTTAAGCTTGATTTTTTCCAATTTATCAGAAATCCTAATTTTTGAAGAAGAAATAATGTTGAATTTCTGTGAATTTCCAGTTTTTGGGGGTTTTCCTGCCATGAGGAGTATGTCGTCTAGATATATGATCATACGAACACCCATTCTTCGTAATATACCTATTACTGGTTTCATTATTTTGGTGAACAACCTTGGACCCTCTGCTAACCCGAAGTGTAGGGCTGTGTACTGAACAAGGTTCCTTCCCACTTGAACCTCAGAAATTTTTCTGTGGTTTTGACTGATGGACAAAACTGAATATGCCTCCTTTAAATCTATTTTTAGCATGAAATCGCCCACTTTTAGCAGGTCTTTGATCATGAACAAGCCCTCCATTTTGAAATGTTGGTACATTACATGTTGGTTTAATTGCTTGAAGTTTAACACTGGCCTTTGACCCCCATCTTTTTTGGGTACTAAGAACCAATTGCTTAGGAATTGATCCCTGCATGGTTTTACTGGTACAATGACTTCTTTTGTCAACATTTCACTGACCTCTGTTGACATCAGGTGTTTTTCTTTTTGAGTGAGTACAGTCATTCTTGGATCTTTCAGTTGTTTTGGACGTGACTGAAAATTTACCTCTACATTTTGGATATCTTTTAGTATCTTTTTGTCTGAGGTGATTATTTCCCAGTTCTTTACAAAATGTTTTAACCTTCCTGCTATAGGAATGTGTTTTGATAGTGTCACTAGGTTTAGACTCTCCAATGAGATTAAAATATTGTTTGCTTTGTCTATATTTTTTGTGTGACAAAGATTTGAAACAAAATTTAACATACCTGATTCCACCTCTTTTATTTCCTCTGTGAAAACCATTTCCACGGGAGTTGCCTCTGCCTCCTGAGTTTCTTGCTCCCTGTGAATGACTCGGAGGCCTTGACTGAAAGGGCGGTTTGTCTTGATGTGATTCCTTTGGTTCCCATCGTTGACTTTGTTGCACCTGACGAGGTGTGTCATAGTTGAACACCTTCTTCTTGTGACTCTTTTTCTTTCCTCCGAGAGCTAAAGCCATTTCGGAAGCTTCTTTCTTTGTTTTGCTCCATTCCTTCAGCTCTTCCTTGAATTCACTTCCAAACAGATGCTTGTCGTTTTTCGCTAAACATTCCTGTTTGTCTCTAAGAAGTGATCTAGCCTTCTTTGAATCTTGATTGTTTATTCTTTGAAGGATTGACAAACGTCGCGAATAATTTATTGCAACATTAGATTTTCCTACCAAACAAATTGTTTTCTCTTACAGATCAAGAATATGACGGAAGTCAACATTGTCAACATGCGCCTGTGCACTAGGATCGTCACACCCCTTATCGATTTTTGATCGAATATCTTCAAATAACATCCATAAGTTACCAAGAGGCCCTATGGTGTCTATAAGCTTTGTCTGAATACTGACGAAAGCTTTATCCAACTGCGTATTTGTACTACGACTTTGTTCTTCCATAATAGAGTAAATCAATGGATCGATAGATCTGATAGTAAAGCCCTCGTATGATGGGACGGGCATCGTGTTCAAAATTAATTCCTGAACTTTATGTGAAGGAATAAATCTATTGAAATTGTCATCAAGAAATAATTCCATATCTTTGGAAAACTGGAGTCCTGTTTTTTCCTTCTTGTGAGGATTAAAACGATGATAACTTTTGTTGCCGTTCTTTTCACTGTATGTTAAATTAGATACAGTTTCACTTACAACGGACCTTACTTCTTTATCCGACTCAGAATCGGAAGAAAAGTCATCCTTCTTTGAGGATTTTTTGCTTTTTCTGTCATACTTTGTGGCTTTAGATTTTTTCCTTTTGTGGGAATAATCATCGCTCTCCGACTCCGAAGAATCAGAAGGAAAATCACGCTCGGCATACTTTGGCCGTTTCCTTTTCTTCTTGTGTCTTTCAGTCAAACTATTGTCACTTTGGACATATGACTGCGAAACACGTGCTTCTTCAATGTCGGCCGTGTGGTCAACATGGAGTTCGTCGCGGCTAAATCAGCAGAAGCACTATTGTTTTCTAATGAAACCATGTCATCTTTTAAATCACTCATGACGACATTTCAATATAAAATCCCGGCGAAAAAAAAAATAAATCCCAAAATCCACTAAAGTAATACAACAAAAACAGTTTGTTAATTAGCAGGGAATTTCTTGGAGCTCTTCACTCGACGCTAGCCAGTAAGAGAATGAGGAAATGCACGTGGAACATGCATTATCTTAGGGATTGGCTAGTCAGGCTGCGTGCGCAGCAAGAGATAACACTGGAATATCTTGTTGAGGTTATGATATGAAATTACAACTGCCATGAGGTCAAATAGTTGATAATGACTTATCAGCAAAGAATGAAGATGTTTCTATAAGACATGGTTGTTTATATCATATGCTTTGAGTACAGGTAAGTACTTTTTATGTCAATATAACAATGTGATTATCTTGTATTTCCCATTTGATGCATTTCAGGATATTTTTGCTATTTCAGAAAAGATAGCTTTAGCTCTGAGGTGGAAAGACCTTCAATATTGTTCTGTGAACAATTGGTTTTTAATTAATTTAAGCATACTTATACAATAATGGATGATGGATGATTTGTAATTCAAAGTTTAAAAGTTGATATGACAATTAAATATTTTTATTCAAATACCCATTTTTTATTTACATACCATTGTTGTATCATCTGCCATTTGCAATGGAGTATCTGTACATGATGAACTTTGTATACAATGGACTGGCACCTCAAAATCAAATCGAAATTCTAATACCTCTTGCACTGAATGTCCACTATATGACTCTGTTTCAGTGATACTATTATTGTCTGTATTCTTCAGTCGTCTGTTTCCACCAGATGTTACATCAAAAGTTAAAGTGAATCTAAAAATAACCGTTACATTACATTTACTAAATTGTAAACCAACAAAAACAGTTCTTCTTTATTGTTTAAAAAGATATATTCGACTTAATAGGAGTTTACGTTTACATTTTATCTTGATTTTATTTTTTTATTTCACTTCATATCTTCCATCAACATCAGTGATGAAAAATGGCACATCTTGTTCCATTCACAAATAAAACTTACAGTCAGAAATATTCAAGCCAGAGAAAGAGCATTAACAATAGTAATTTCAAATGCAGAAATGATTGGAATGTCTATAGCATAGTTAGTTGAGAAATCATGTAATTAGATATTTGATTTCAATTTTAAATTTCTCAGTAAAACGTGTATGATGTAATTGGGAATGGTGTGTGGTGCAAAGAAAGAGAGAAAAGATACCAAGGGGCATTTGGAAAAGGTGAAAAGTGCAATAGGGTATGGTGAATAGTGTAACGAGAATGGTTTACACCTTCGTTAATGATTAAATGACAATCCCATGCATTAATTTTCTTAACGCTACTTTGTTCTTTCAAGTTTGATAAATAATAACTACTAAGTTTAGTGCATAACGATACTTAGTATAGTCGTACAGATACGGAATATAGAGGAAATATAATTGTTAACACAAATAAAGATTTACACACATTATGAACAACTGAACAACATGTTTGCCTGTTGCAATGAATTGAAATATTACATGTACATATGATGTTATAAAAGTGAAACTGAGATATTGTTTTACCATTTGGCAGGCTGACACTTACTTCCTAGTCATTTATTCACTCAACAATTATACTTTGGAACATGTCGGCTCGAAATGTAGACTCATTATCAAAATTTAAAATAGAACAAAAAGATTCCTCGTGGTATAATATCAACAAAGGTAAAACGCACATCATTATCATTATCATCCTAATCTTTGACGTTCTTTCTGTATCCCCTTTCCTTCTTTCAGTATAGTTTAGTAATACTTATGTTGTTAATATCATTCAATTTGTATTATTATATATGTTAGACTCAGATCGACGTCCGGTCTCTAATCGACGTCGGTTCCTCAAATCGACGTCTAAATCTGACGTCACGTTCTCAAATCAGTGTCCAATATTTTAACCATCTAATCGACGTCCAATGTGACGTAATGAATCACAAAAACGACGTCCGACCGATGAGAAGACTTTTTTTTTTAAATTGATCTTTGTTTATATTATCTGTCTCGTTTTGTCTTTTAGTGAAATAGCTTACAGAAACTATAACTGTTTCCTTATATTGTTATCAAAATAAAAAGAAAAAACATCAGAAAATGACAAGAAGACAATCACCAACATTCTATTACTATTACATGTACATGCATATTAATATTTTGGTGAAAGACGTTCATATTCTCGACCTACGCTGTCGCTTTCCTTTCTTTTTCATATAAATAAATTGACATGTGGGTATACATTTTACGACAATGAGACAACAACCCAAAAACTAAGATAATCAAAAGACATCTAGAGGGTAGTATACAGACTCAAACAATAGAAAGAATAATAACGAACAGCCAATTTTTGAAAGTATTATGATTTGGACTCATATTTTTCAACAACTTTTTAAGTTTTAGGTTCAACCCACCCTTTAATAAAGTTGTGGTTTCACTGCGATAAGTCCACAAAACGGACGTCGATAAGAGAAGCCAAAAATTGGACGTCGATTCGAGAACAAACAAAAAAGACGTCGATTAGAGGGGCATAAAAATTGGCCGTCGATTTGGATGTTATTTTATAGACTATTATTGTGACGTCAGATTTGGACGTCGATTTGAGGAACGGACATCGATTAGAGACCGGACGTCGATTTGAGTCTTACATATATATTATATTGTTGAGAAGACTTCATAAGTATGTTTTACTTGTGTCTGATCCTATTTTCTTTTAGCGAATGAAATATGTTTAAACGTAACTAAACTAAACTGAAAAGATGAATTAAAACCAAAAGAAATACAAAGAATAAAGAATCAATACATAAAAAAATGACAATAACGTGAATCAGTGAATATATGTTTGTCGAATTGCTATTTTCATATTAGTTTGCTATTGTGTTTCGTTTGTGAAGTGATGCTTCTAAGCATTGTATTAATGTGAAAATAAGGAGATTTAGTATGATCGATAATAACAGACAACTATATCAACCAAAGACGAACAATGTGGTGAACTTCTACTAACTTCAAATGCAACACAAGCTTTTCTATTTGTGTTCAGATTACTTTTATACTGGATTGATAGACCAAAAAACACCCACATTTACTCTTACTGATACTATAGAAGTAGTTAAAACATTTTAATTCCCTCGTTTTTTTAAAATATAGTAATAATTATATTATATGCGTTAATAATTTCGTTTTCAATCATCACCCTTCCAAAACGCGATTGTTCACTCATCTTAGGATGCCAAAGGCTAAAAACAAATACATACGTATCTCCAGAGCTAACTGTAAATGGTGCGGCTATTGGAATAATACACTGTAAATCATCAACAGGCGACGTACTACTCAAACCCGAACAATCTCTACTGAAAGATGTGCTGCCACCTGAAGAATATTAGTAATTAGGTTGTAGTATACTATATCAATAGAGGTCTTTAGATCTTCTTTGATTTAATGATCAAATGACAGAAAAACGAGAGCATTGTATAAAGCATGGTAGTTTTTATGCTAAGATACAATATACACAGAGAAATGTAAATTGATTCACAGAATTAGTAGTCGACAATTTACCTTAGTTCCTCTGAAAAATTGTAGGGATTACGCCAAGTTACTAAACAACAGTACTGCCGGTATGAATTATTGTCCACTTAAAACAATTAACTAATTGAATACTAGTATTCAATTTTTGGACACTATGTTGATCTAGATTTAATACATACCTGTAGTAAATGTATACGTGAATATCACCTGACCAGTAACTATACCGAAGGTCGTATCACTGACATAGTTAGGAAATGTCGGTATAAAACCAATGGTTGAATTTGTGTCGAATATGGCATCAATTGAAAGTACTAACACATTATAATCCTGTTGATTTGACCATGTTTCTCTGTTAGATGTCATTGATGTTACAGTATAGGAATATTGCACCATGTTAGTTGTCGAATTCACGTAAGATAAAGTTGAATTTGTACTGTGCAATACTGGTGTGTAAGAGTTGTCGACTGAAATAAAATATTTTATTTAATGTTCTACTGATACAATGCATGTTGCAAATTATGTGTATTTAAGTTTTTAAAGGTGTAATATTAAAATATTTTGATAAGTTAAAACTACAAGTATATTAATAGTATTTAACATAAAAGAATGCTATTCAGATATACAAGTTTTATGAATATCAAACCAAATTTTAACTTTCGAAGTAAATGCATACTTAATGATCCAAATATTACTAAAATTGCCTCTAAATGTGAATAAAAAGAGATGTGAGTTTATTTCATTTAGAAAGCAAGTAAACCCGACACTAATATTAATAATCTATAATGCTAAAGATGAGATTTTGCCGGACTTTTAGTTAAACGCTCGGCTCAAACTGAAAGAGACATGATGATAGTTTAGAGTGTGCAAATGATTCTGGCATTAGCAAATCTTTTCTAATAAAAATTATAAACCTTTTTTGCGTCTATTTACAAATGCACTTTGTATGTACGTATAAAAGTTGAAATCTCGCAACTTTAGAAAATTATAGAAATCTTTAACGTCCCAAATATTCATTCAAGGTACTTAAACGTAAAGACGTATGCAGTTGTGTTTCTGCAAATGACACCCTTCCAGTTCTTGCAATTATTGATTTCACGGAATACAATAGGAAACGCTTTAATGTTATTAGAGTTGTCTCCCTTCGCTATGACCAAGTTGTACAAATAGTATAGCCTGGCGGGAAAATAAAATTCCATGGTACAATCTATCATCGATAAACGCTTTTGATGGTTGTTTGAAACATGAGAATATTCTATCTACTGGTAATTCTTTAAACAAAAATTCAATGCAAAAAAAAAAAAAAAATGAATCGGCTGTAAATAAATATCTATGTAAAGTGTCCTTCATAGTAAAAAAAACCACAAAGACAGACATCGAGTCTAAGGGCTCCGCATACGGTATTCAACAAAACAAAAGATGTCTATACATTTTTGTAGCACGTGTCAAGCTCTAAATTATCTTTTTTGTACACACGCCGTGACTGATTTCACGATCTGACATTATCTCAAAACTCTTAAAATACATGTAATGATAACAAAAGAAATAAACAAATAAAGCAATTTAAAAAAAAAAAAAACAAAAAAAAAACAAAAAACAACAACACGTAATTGACCACTTTATACAACCCCTGGCTACGTAAACACGTCACTTACAGTTTAAGCAGGTTGTTCCACTGAAACCATTTCTACAAACACATTGTTTCGGATCACCGCTGCAATCTCCAGGAAAACATGGCGATAAGTGCGAGCACAATGATACTAAAATTAATTTAATCGTCCATTAGTGTATTGGTTCGTTAACTATTCAACAGTGTATACAATTAAAAAGGTATAATCATTAAGCGGAAATAATTAAATCATACGACTTATTACAATCGAAAATTGCTTGTCAATGTAATAAAACTGTTAGAAACACCAAACACAGTTAAAAGTGAACCAGAGCACATATAACATTTTGCAGGCAATAAGTACTGCATATGGGTCTTCGACTTCGAAAACTAAGGTATTTTATCCAAGACCTTTTAAGTTATAGATGTCTTCAGCCAGATTTTGTACAACTTTTAGAATTTATGGTTTTCAATTCCTTTCAACTTTGTAATTGATTTAGAATTCCAACTGCTTCGATTCGAAGGCTACTAATGAGTCTTTAATAGAAAAAAATAAACACTCGTCTTGTGAAATGAATTATAAACCTGGGTTCATAGGGAACTAGGCCAGTGGGAAATCTTGTGAACGAAGACAATAGAAAATTCACTCTTCTTCGAGAAAATCAATAATAAAACAATGCCGGTGACGATACTGATCAAAAGTTACTTCTAAACAATAATTGTTAATTTTAAAGAAATTATTTGTTCAACTGTGTTTTTAGAAATATACATGCAAATACACGATGTTTTATGATCCTTATTTATCGAGATAATTGCACTAGAAGCTTGTGAAACTGAAATCTAAAAAATGCTAAGCTTTGCTGCATATTTATTAAAAGAAAATGGAAAAAATCATGTACATACAAAATCTAAAGATCTTTGGGGGTCACCAATTTCAAGGGTGTTCCACAAGGTCCTAAGCATATTACAATTTCCCAAAATATATTTATTTTTCACATCAAAGTTTTCGAGCACACCGGTCTGCTCTTGTCACGTGAACATTCATAATAGAAATATTGTCTTTTCGTGAATGCAACAATTTCAAAGTCTGCCTGTGCAGGTTCAAAAATTAAAGATAATTTTTATAAAGTAGGTATCTTTGTACTAATTTTTATACAATTTAAAGAAAAGGTCGTCTCGATTTTTGTACATGTATTTACGGTCTACTCGATTTATTCACACTCAATGTTTATATTGGGATAAGGCTCGTTTGAATTTGCTTCGTAACTTAATTTTAAAAGTGTCAATCTTTGCTGCATTCAATCGATTTCTTTGGATTTTTTTCTCTGAACTTCTCTGATCTAGTTGCATATATATACGGATAATTAGCATGTTCAAGTGAGGTATACAGCCAGAAGAAAAATAAATTGAAGTTGGTAATCCAGGAATTTATTCGCATGGCAACATTTTAAACCAATTTTACATTAAGCTCCTATAGCCAGCTGTACTCGTCGTTTGCTATTTAAGGAGGAGATGATAATATTAAATGGAAGTTTTGTTTTTATTTCAAATTATTTTTATTTTTACTATTTACCAGAGCATTTTCCCGTGAATTTATAATTGATAGCGTCCTTGCTAAAACGGGACAAACATTGAAAGGATCTAGTTTTCAGTGATTACAGGGAGGTAATATTTTGTCACTAGATTTCCCACTGTAGGCTACATGCATTTTCTTTACCAACATTGGTGAAGTAGACAATTCTAAAAGTATATATGATTCATGTTTCGTTTAATATCGTTTTACATATTTGTATGGGCGACCTACATTTGCATGAATTTGAATATGACAAGCATTACGTTTGCCCGAATTTACCTTTAATTTATCTGAATTTCTACCTGTGATCTAATCCTGAGAACAACTTGAACTTTACCCTATTTTAAGGAAAATAAGTTATATCGTTTGAAATCATAATTTGTTTATAAAAAGTCAAGGTCTTCTGTTTTATAATTATTTTTTTCAAATTAATCCGCTCAAACGTAGTGACTTTTCAACAGGTAAATTTCGCGCAAACGTGGATTTTTTTGCGCAAACGTAGGACAAATTCGCGCAAACGTAACGCGCCGATTTGTATCAATGGACTTACTACTTTGGCACGTAGATCCTTCATACCCAGCAGCACAGTGACATGTGTCAGGGTTGATACACGATCCGCCATTCTGACACACAGAGGAACAAACAGCTGAAACAAATATACAACTGTATCAATGTAAAACAATATTTTAATGCACGGAAAAATAGAACTAATCAGGAAAACAAACAGCTGAAACAAATACACAACTGTATCAATGTAAAACAATATTGTATTGCATGATCAAAAAAGAATTAATCAGGAGATCAATATGAAAAATATTGATATAGTGCCTAACAAGAGTTTGTGAGGTAGACGTAACTGACCTTTAAACGATCGTGTTGAATTTTGATGACCAAAAATAGGTAGATCGGACATATTTTGACTTTATTTACTGACTACTTTTGGTTGGGTTTAATTGTAATTATAACATTATAATGAGACTAAAAAATGTTTTTGTTTTTGTTCAGATAAACAATTATAATTTTACCTTGCGTAGTCGTGCGTAAAATGTATTTCGGCATTTCTCTTGGAAAAATGATTTGTTTAACAGAATAAAACCTTGATTTGTTAATTTTCTCCCTTTTCTCGAGAATATGCTATTAAAAAATAATGTATCTACTCTATACGTGGAAAATTTTGTGAAAATATAAGAAGTGGCAATTCTAACCTTTCATACCTTTAGTTTCATTGATGAAAAATAATATGGAATCGTCCAGTGTCCAATTTGAAGGTCATTCAAGTTACTATACACGCGTCATCATTGATTGATTGTTGGTTGCTTAACGTCCAGTGGCAAATATTTCATGCATATTCAGGACGAGAACAAATTAACAATAAATACAATTGGTAGGTTTTGTAATAGAGGCGCCCGGGATTAAGGTCGGAGAAATTTAGACTGACACGGGAAATGAGGGTATATTGGATAGGGACAGAAATGTAACCTTGCAACAGGTCACCTACGGACCCCTCAAAGAGTTGTTGCAAGGGTTCTTAACGTGCAAAGAGCGTGGCACTCTCTTTACACGAGGCATCGGATTTAACGTCCCCATTCTGACCGGACGTGGCTGCAAATTTATACATCCCGCACAGCCAAACGGACGCCCCACTATGGCGAGGGTTTTACTGCCGGTCGGAGGAAGACCAATGGTGACCACACTTCTATTCCCCAGTCACCCTTGGGGGGATATACACGCGTCACGGTGTGTACATGTAAAAATATAAGCAATTATAATTCAGTTTTAAGAAAACAATTTTTTCAAATACATTTCAGCTTAATAATTAAAAAAAATAAATAAATAAGGCACCGAGTAACATGCATTCCAGTTCTGGTTTAATCAATATACATGTATGAAAAAAATCAACAGTTTAATGGTAAATTAATAATAACTTAACCCAATCAAATTGCGTAAGACCGGTCCACGTCATAAAATTAATAAGTAATAGGGGTAAACTGGGTAGGGAGAAAATGACAGATATTTTAAGTTCATTTTTTGTAATAACGAATAAAAATTTGACAACCGAAAGTTTTGCTATAATTTCCAAAACATGTCGTTCTGTATTGGTGTAGTTTCCGGATCTTTCATTTGCGTATTCAGTAAGGCAAATGATAGAAAGCTTGGCTTTCAAAGGCCTACATAATAATTGACTTTATACAGAAAATTTGTCCTTTTAGAACATTTATTGTTTCACAAATAATACATGGATACAAAGTAAAATCATTTCTTAAAACACTGCAAAAAAAAAATCATTCTGATTGGTATAGTGGTATTGTCATAAAGTGCGTTGAAATGAACCGTGGTATAGCAAACATCGAATTCCCTCACAAAACATGCAAAATGTTATCACACACTTTTTTTATAGTCTGCTAACAAACATGTATGTATAGAACAATAAATCACAAATGCCACTGAAACTTTTGCTTTGCACTCTTTTTAACACGCTATATTTAAACCAAACAAATAAACAGAACCAACAACTGACAACAGAAAACAAAAACTAGCAAGAACGACAATAATAATACAATATAAATTGGTTAAAAACTTTGAACGAACGATCAAATATTGTCACATTATATATCACGAATGTATAATGAACTTACGGATACTGCAGTTTTGATCGCCATTATGAGTCCATCCAGTGCAACAAAAATATTCTGTCTCGTTATAAGTTTCTGTTATATTTATGTAGTTAACACAAAACCTGAAATAGTGTGTCTAGGATTTAATACAGTATGCTTATTGAATATGATAACAAAATAATTAAATACGAATAATCTAATAAAACATCAAATCTTGTCAGTGTTACAAAACAAATCCTTGTACGTTCGTTAACTTAGGATTTCTAATTTATTTAAAACATAATTATACCAGCGCTGAATGTAAGTTGGCTATGATAAAGAAACTGTTATTAATTTGAGTTCTCGTCAGGTCTGTGTACACTATTTCAGTGAGGAATCCTTAGACTGCAAAAGTGTTTTACGGTACAAATTGTTTTTTAATTAAATTTACATCATCGCATGTGATTAGTGTAACACATACATATTGTTCCGTGCATCTTCTTCTTCTTTATTTACAGAAAAACTTTTACTGTGTGATGATTACTTTCTTGACAACATTAATACTTAAAAAACATTACAATTTTGATATGATTTAAGGAGATGAGTGGTGTACGTACAATTCACTGAAATAAAAGAAGTCTCGACATTTAATAATAATAATCTTTTTTTCAAAATGTTTAAAAAAATAATAATAATGCAAATATATATACATTGAATGAAAAAATGATATTTACTTGTACGAGCTATAGAAACAGGTAGAAAGGCGATTTTCGCCGAGATTTTCTTCTGTTTCGTAGTCAGTGCAAATAAATGATCTATTTTCCGACATTGTATGGATATTTTTTTCCTGCAATTTAAGAGTGACTATTTCACGTTCCAAACACATGTCGTTGATTATAATAGAAATCGACGTAGCATTAGGCGTGGACCCCGATAGGATTCAAAATGAATTGTTATTGAAATTAAGAGCACTTTTAACATTAAATAATCTAGATACAATGGATAAGTGTTGGTGCGTTAAAATGATACCACGAACCTGGAGAGTGTGTTTACAGTATAAAAGTACACAATGTATATAATGCACGTCGTCAGAGACCAAGAATGGTATATAATACACGGGGATACACTGTGATAAAATATTATGTGGAGCGAGAACGAATACTGTGTCTAAACTACCCCGGCAAAAAATGTTTGGACTCGATGGTATCTAATATCTGGCACGGTGACGGAACATCAATAGATAGAGAAAAGGTAGTTTTCTGTTTATCTATTTGTTATTGTTATGATATCGAAGAATATTTTTACATATATAACTGTTTTCTATTGTGAGATGTAATATTTTCTACAACCGTTCGAGATTAACAGAGAAATAAGTAAAAATGCACGTCAAAATGACGAATTGAGTGAACCTTGCCTTGAATTTGTTTAATTTCTCCTTAAATTGTTCACATGGTACGGAAAGAAAGGTATTGAAAGAAATATATTGACATTGAGATTCCAAAACTAGTCACTTTGAGCACCTCAATCCTTGTATTTCTACGTATGGAACGAAAGAAATAGGTCTTGCCAAAATGGAAGCACCCGGTTTTGTCAATGTTGTTTACTACACAATGACCCGGTTTTGTCTATGTATAGAACCCGGTTTTGTTTATTTTATGAAAAGCAACGTTAATATTGGTACCCTGAAACAAAAAATAAATTTACAAATGGCTGATCATGTGGGTTTTCAAACCAGATACCTCAATAAAGCGTGTTGCCAAGTTTAATTAAATTGTTAAAGAGGAGAAGATTTTTGTAAGATATTTGGCAGAAACGCAAAGAAATGGTAAAAATCGTAACTAAAGGTCAATAATTCTTACAAGGATATCGACCAAGTCGACTTATTCGTATATATTGTCTTGCTGATCATTTTTGCTATATAACTTTTATATATTTCAAGATAATAGACAGAAATGGAAAAAAAGGAGAAATTTGTCATTCAAGGACATTAACTTCTATAAGAATTCGTGTGAGAGTTTTGATGTGTATGGACAAAAGGTAGAGCTCAACATTATGAACATATCTGCCCCTGTTAAATTTTCTCTATCTATAGCTGTTTTCAAATAATAGACAAAACTTGCATACCCCTATGTTTTTATTTTAAACCATGTCGGCCATCTTTGTTGACAAGCGGCGATCATCAAAAACTTTTTAAACTAGATACCCCAATGATGATGAAAAACAGTTAAACATAAGTTGGTTAGACCTTTTAAAAACAACTTCAATTGCGTTTTTTTTTTAACAAAAATAAATACTACGTATTATTTATACAGGCGTGACTGTACGCACTGACATGTCACGACTGCTGGAATGATCGTTATCGAAATTATTTTGAAGGTCTGTAAGATGAATTATTTAATAAAAGTATCTCATAAAATTAACATTGTTCATGGAACCAAAAAAAGTCAAGGTCTGATGAAACCTGCCAGACGGATATGAACACATTACAATCATTAAAACCAACAAAAAAAACCTTAGCATTTACCAATAAATCAAGAAAATAAGTTCAAGGTCACTTAAATAGTCATGTGCGTCATACGAGCAAATATAGTTGACTTATTACTTATGGTATTAGAGATACGGACTTGAACACGAAATGTTAACCTTGATCATAGATATCAACCATTATCAGCTATTCTTTTTGTTAGGAAATCGCTGAACCATGAAAATGAGGTCAAGGGCAATGGACATATGACAGATAGAAACATCGTTACATAAAAGATCTGTGTGCGAGGTATGTTGCAATCAGGCCTTCTAACTTCTGACATATGAAGCTTCATACAAATAGTTCAAGCCGCCACGAATTTGCATCCCTTGGTCTCGCATTCCGACAATTCCAAAATATCAATGTGAATTTTTAGAATAAACATGATAATCCTACTGACATACATCCAATTTCGCGGGTGTCCCTGCTTTCTTATTTCTTATAAAATTTTAAGTTGGTATACGATTTAGTTATATTACATCAGTGGCGAATCCAGGCGGCGTATAGGTCACACGCCGCAACCCCACCTTTGATGGCCCAAAAAAATTAAATTTTTTTTTATGATTTTTTTTAGCATAATTCGTTCAAAACATTGTTCGCTTCGTTACACTCTGCGGTATGTAAGCTGTTTGAATTACGCCCACTTTGAAAAAACCTGAATCCGTCCCTATATATTGTCAATAATATATTGACCAACGTCAATGTACGATAATCATAACACAATGGAGAGATAACAGAACCGTTTATTTATACAACTATTAATAAAATAATCATTATTGCATTTTCTCGATGGCCTGAGACTATTATAATACTAATTTATACTTAGTATTATAGTTACAATTAGGGATAGATAGATTTGATTTTTAATGCATGATTATTGTAATCCTTTTCTCACCATGAACATACATTTTCTATGGCGATTGGATTACTTATAAAGATAACCATGCATCCTGTTGTGCAAGAAAATCACATATCAAAGGTGCGTCCTTCAATTTTTAAGACCATAAACTCTAATTTTAATTTAAACACTAAAATTTACATAATTCATGTAAGGCCAACTAAAATTAATTAGTAGATTTTCATCCAACTTTTTGAAAAAAATGGGGCGGGTGGGAGGATTTTATTTTTTATTTTTTATTTCATATGAAAATATTTTGTAAGGTGTTATTAACATGTAAACGTTATAAAATGGCTTATATATGTTTTTATTCCAGAAACATGCACAATAGAAATTTCAACTCCAATCTCTGCAGAATTAAGCTGACCAAAAGACATCTAAAGGTCACAAAAATAGTCTTCAATATCAGATGGTCCATCTCATGTGACAAGATTCAAATTTTATTTCTCTGACAAATATCCAGTGGGAAAATTATCTAACAGTTGACCATATCAAATTGAATGATAATAAAAGCTTAATTAAAATAAAACTTTGTTTTATTAAACAAAAAATGATATTAAATGCAATAGATTACAAATTTTTGATACTTATAACATAAATATATTAATACAAAGAGTTCAAACATTTTTGTAATATTGTATGATTAGAAAATTTTTGTTATTTTTCAAAGTCATTTAGGATTAAATTTGTTCCTAGTACGTCTTTCGACAAGTTTTTTACCATTCTCTTTACAACCAGTACATATAGGATAATATTTATTAGCTTCATCTTCATCACCTGCTTCAGCAGGTTCAAGCTCATCAGTTCCACAAAAGAAACAAACATCTTCAAAACCAGCAGAATAATAAGTTAATTCTACAGTACAGTTACATGTAATGTTTTTTCGTACAAACACAGTTTTCAAAACATGGGTTTCTTCTTCAAGATCTAACTCATCAAATGAGAAACCACATGTGTACTGAATATCAGTTAAACTGTTTACTAATTGTGTCCTTCTGACACCCCTTACTACCTTTTTGGAGTAGAGTACTCTAGGTTTATCACAATCTGAACATAGAACAACCATTTCCACATTCTTAGCGTACTGAGAAGATGGAGAAAATGGTAATCCATGTTCAGATGATGGTTTGCCAGTGAGTGATGGTCGATATTTTTCTGATGTTGGCTTTCCATATAACTGATCAAATGATTTATACTTGTCACAATTAAGCGGCTCTGGGTCCGGAAGATGATAAAGACTTTCAAACATTTCATTACTTAAACGAGGTTTTTTTGCAAACATGACATGACGTTTTACCACATTTTTTTACACTAAAAATGTACTGAGCAATTTTACAATGATCATTCAAAATACTCATAAACAATTTTCTTTTTTTAATATCCTGCTGAGTACTATCTGTTACTTCAATATCCTGGTCTATTTTTAATATTTCACGTCTGAAATCAAATATTTCACCCTCTGTTGCTGGATCAAAGACCTTTAAGTTTTTATCTTTCCATTTGAGCCTAGTTATTACATTTGACAATAAAACACGAACAGGCTCTACTGAGTCTAAAACCTCTTCCTCAACCGTAGGATATTTTTCTGCTAGTTTTCTAATTTCACCTAATGAATTTACAGAATCTAATTGTTTTTCATAATGCTCTGTTTTTTCACGCATCAGTCCTACTGACTGGAAACCCAAGTTCAAGATGGACATAATTCTTTCTGCTGGATTTTTCCAACTATTTTGTGGAGGGGTTCTAGCTACACAAATCAAATCAAGATCAAATATAAGAAACAGGCAAATCAAGGACATTTGAACAGAAACATATGTCAATCTATGGGCGGGACCTCCATCACTGTAAAAAATTAAAATGGGCTTAATCATACCATTTTCTAGAAATGAATTTTTCAAAATTTTAGACATTTCAGTTGCATGCCGCCATGGGGAAGAAGATTGAAATGCTGTTTCTTTTACACCAACAAACACTTGCCCACCATAAAATGTTTTTTCAATTTCATCTGGAATCTCTGAAAATAAATTCACACTAGGAGTTATTGAAAATTTTGTGAAGTCGTGATCAGCAACTTCAAATTTTTTCCCCATGGCGACAATGACCTGCTTCCCCCTTCCACAGTTGCAACTGGATATCCAGGCTCCCCAACTTTCAATTTGTGCTTATCATCCATACACACAAAATTACAAAATGGTTTATACATTATTGCAAACTCTTTTTGGTACCTAAAAATAGCAGAAGCATAATGCATATCTACATGAGTCTTTCTAAATTGGCGACTTTGAATCATAAATTTAACTTTTAACTTGCCTGTATATCTATGAGAGGATTGAAAATTAGCATGTCGAGGCCAAAATTGCCAACGCAACCATTGCTGTGAAGGGACTAAAATGTTTGGTGGTAATTTAGCTTTAACCTGTTCATATAGATCTCGAACTGAAAATGCATCTGCCAAATGAGTAATTACATCACCCCCCTTATCAATTTTGTCATGCCTTCTATCGTCAACAGCCAATTCAAGCTTCTCATTGATATAATTTTGGCACTCTGAAAGAAAATCATTATACTTTTCAGGTTGACCCCGGTTATTCAATCTTAAGTCACAAATAAGTTCAGAGTCTTCATTGTCTAGAATTTCACTGATACGTTTGTCAACTTCTGTTTGTGAAGCAGTAAGAGAGGCAGACTGGTCCCCAGTCAAACGTCTATAAGCCTCTCTTAAAAAAGCAGATTTATTTGAAATTGTGCGACCAAACAAAGAAAGAAATTCACGTCGCATTGCCCGACTGTGATAAACTGGGAGTGATTTGCGTAAATTGCATGCTATTTGCATGTTCTTTGTCAATAAGTCACTCTCAGATACAATGGGAACTTTCCACAGAAACATCAAGTGTTCTTTTGATCCTGTATAAGTAAATTGACAACATTTGACTGGAACAACTAGGTCTTTGAAATAGTCATATCGTCTGTTTGGTTCACCCGGAGAGTAGTCATTGACAACAATAGGAGAAAAAAAGTCACTATGTATGATAGCAGTATGCAATAAATTGTATCTCGCTTGCTTTGTAGGATTGACATTGGACACGGGTGCTAGATATTCCCACCTCTCCTTATCCCCTTGGAATACTTTTTTTGAAGCACTACATTCAGATCTATATTGCTGTGAAACTAAAAAGTCAGCATACTTTTTCAAATTTTGTCCAAATTCTAAAAGAATAGTTCTTATTGGCAACCACTTCTCTCGTTTTAAAAAGCCATTTTCAGTAAGAAGCAAAAGTGCAATTGCATGACTGCGTAAAATGTTCTCTTGAAGACTAGTTGAATCTATTTTCTTTCTCTTTCTTAATTCTGGTTTATAGTAACCATTAAAATGAATCAGTGCTTCAGGAAGACCACAGGCTCGGCTAGCTAATGTGTGGTGGTTACCATCCACATACCACAAAATGTCTGTCAATGTATTCACCAAATTCACCCCAAGACTGTCTTTGTTTGTTGACAAAAAACCCACACCCTGTGCCCTTAGCCACTCAATTATGTCATTAAATAATTTGTTCTTTTGGTTTAATTCATGTTTAATGTTTGGCAAATGATTGGCTTTATTTGCACCCTGCATTAGAATCGTGAAAGCATCAACTTTAGCATTATTTACACAGTTTTGATTTTCATCTTTATTTACTCTGTATTCAATGTAGGGTCCAAGACAAGGTACCGCGTCGCACAACTTTGTGCAGGGGTCGATTTCCGTACTTAATTCACTTTTTTTTGTTCCAATGTGTGCCGTTATTCTAGCGTTTTGAATTTCATTCACTGGAGGTTTGTGGTCCAAATTTCCTGACGCGAAGTCATTATATAAATCAAAAATGTTTTTTTCATCATTGAAATTCGTAGCGTACCACGATTTCTTTTCATTCACACCGCTTACTACTCTAAGAATCACGAAAACCATATTGAATTGTTACAGGAAGTTAACAAAAAACGAAATTATTGACACGGATACCGGTAACGGAGATGAACAAAATCCGGAAATCGTAAATTTTAGAAAATAAAAAAAATCGGGGCGGCACGATTTTCGAGGGGCGGGCGGGGATGAAAATCTATCAATTAATTTTAATTGGCCTAAAAAAAAACGTATAGAGAGCTTAAAACTCAATTTGCGGTTTAACCTTCATTTCTTTTTTTAATGCAAAGCAAAAATATAATTATTTTTGTTCCAATAAAGTAGGAATTAAGTGTTTACAGATTCAAATAAATGACAGGTTTTCCTCTGTAAGAAATCGTTTTCCAACCAGCCACCAAACTCCTTTTAATTGCTGAAGTTCAATTATGTTATGCGATAATGCATTTTTTTCTTTGACAAAACCGTGTTCTGCCTTGTGAAATCTAGGACAAAACCGGGTTGTACACATTGACAAAACCGGTTGCTTCCATTTTGACATGACCCATTTCTTTCGTTCCATACGCTGAAATACAAGTATTGAGGTGCTCAAAGTGACTAGTTTTGCAATTTCCATGTCAATATCTTTCTTTCCGTATCTTTCTTTCCGTACCATGTGAACAATTTAAGGAGAAATTAAACAAATTCGAGGCAAAGTTCACTCAATTCGTCATTTTGACGTGTATTTTTACTTATTTCTCTGTTAATCTAGAACGGCTGTAGAAAATATTACATCTCACAATAGAAAACAGTTATATATGTAAAAATATTCTTCGATATCATAACAATAACAAATAAATAAACAGAAAACTATCTTTTCTCTGTCTATTGATGTTCCGTCACCGTGCCAGATATTAGATACCATAGAGTTCAAACATTTTTTGCCGGGGTAGTTTAGACACAGTGGCTAAGTCCCCATATAAAATTTCCACACCTGTATATATACCATAAAAGGTTACCGACGTAATGTGTAGAATACATGTACCAAGTAAGGAATATGACAGTTGTTTTCCATTCGTTTGATGTGTTTGAGCTTTTGATTTTGCCATTTAATAAGGGACTTTCCGTTTTGAATTTTCCTTGGAGTTCGGAATTTATGTTATTTCACTTTTTAAAATTATATACTACCCAAAATTGCAAAAGAACCTGAGTAATTTTTTTAATCCTACTTCAAACGTTAAACGGATGCCGTCTTATATGCCAACGACAACTCTTATAAAGGCCGGGTATTAGATAAACATGGTCATCAAGTGATGTCACACAACCAATTGCATTTTCTGAAGGTAGGATATTAAACAGATAAATCATGTTCAGGAGGGATTTTGCGAAAAATAGCAAACAAGTCTTAGAGATGAAATTTCCTGAGCCTCTCTGGTATTTTTCGTCACTCTCACACGGTGGTATATTAGCATCCTATATACTCACAGAAATAAGGTTTCATTACATATGGTCGTAACATTTATCTTCTCTAAAGTTTCGGAGCAAACATATCTACAAATAGAAGGAATAAATATGACTATATTTTGAAACTATCTATACACTAAGTCAGATAAATCATGGAATATCGGTACATAAACTAAACCAATATTTGTTATGCATGTGTATATGTCATTGGGTATTGAGAGATTTTTAAATAAAGTCAGCTGTGGTTGTATGTTTGTCGATTCTGGGAGATTCGGATGTAGGAGAGAAGCTTACAAAATCACACAAGTTTCAAAATGAACAAATCTTAAAGTCGACATAGAGAAAATATTAGGCTTTTGAAAATATATTGATGTACAAACACTGCAAAGAAAGAAACAGATTATTCTAGAAAAACAGAGTTACTATCTACAACTTTTGTAAATGTCATATAGAAAATAACTTAAATTTTAATTTTAGATAGACTTCTTATTTAAATCAACGTTCTTAACAATATCAATATAAAATTAGGGGTTCTAGATGCCTGAATCGCTCACCTGGCAAACCTATACAACATTGAAATCAGAAGTAAAAAACACAAATAGGTAGAAAAAAACACTGCTAAATGAAAATTGTCATTTAAGGGCAAAGTAAAAAGTCAGTTGTCGATTTCGGTTTTGTTCACTATTGTTGGAACGATTGTCACAGGCGATACATAGTGATTCTAATCGATGGCCTTGTTTGCTCCTTATGTAAAGCTTCATGTTTTAGAAGACAGAATAGCCGGGTAATCCATACCTTTTGTATAGCTGCCTAATTGCTTGAAGGGTTCACCCCCTGACCTTGATCTAAAACACGGTGCGGTGATAAACGAAATCAGTATTTCCGTGATAAGATCGTTTCCATGATACTGTAGGTATAAGGTTCATTATATTCGGTGTATGAAATGATCCAACGTTCTACCTATTTATATGACAGAATCCAAATGTCCTTGACCTCATTTTCATAGTTCCTTTGCGAACGTTTATTTTTTCTTGATACGGTTTCTTTTTCAGAACCCTTCAGTATTATATTAACAACAGATGTATTCAGTGTAAAAAAGAGTGTTCAAAAGGTGTGCATGTCCTTCTAATAGGCCTAATATTACCATGACTTATTAGTAAACGTTACGTTTTCGGGATTAAGTCAGTTTCTCAAATACACAAATAACAGTTCAACTACATTCATCCATCAGGTTACATGACAGTCAAACAGGATTATAATGGGACCTTGATCTCATTTTTATTGTTCATTGCTAATGTTAATTTCGTGTCATACTTGTATTAAGATCTTGATCTTAATAAAGAATTCAACATGAATTCAATGATGATTTGTAAAGCCGTCAATACATTCAGCGTATGCACTCTTCAGTTGGTTCTAGTTTCTGTCGTTAAAGTTTTCGCAAAACAAAAACGCAAAAATGGGTCAAAATTGTCAATGAGTGGCAGCTCCTATGAGGAATCGTCTGCCAATTTCAGTTACTTGACTTATTTTTCAGATCTTGTCTTGCTGACCATTTTTGAAATATTTACAGTTTTTCTCTATCTATTATAGTACTCAAAGAAAATAGTCAAAACCGCAAAAAAATTGTAAAAATCGTTATTCAAGGTCGACAGTTGACTTAAGGAGCCAATTTACAATTGCAACAACTGTATTTAGAAATATTGGAGGACATTTGCATTTTGATCGTTTTGACACGACGGTTTTTTTATCCTATAATTTTCAACTTCAATTCAATTTTAGAAAAACATTGCCTTTTAAATTCGTATTCATTGCTTGCATGTTTGCAATTTGTCATCAATTTTGTTTAAAAAAAAAGTCAAATGTTTATGAGTAGACTTACCCATTCCAGTCAGGTATTTGTTGTGTGGACAAATATAGAAGGCTTAGGATCAAAATTATCTTCAAAATCCACGTCATTTTACAGAAAAATCACAGAATTGCATGCAAAGAATGTGTGCTTTCCATTCTTTCTATACTATCAAGTAAGAACTGTATAATGTTAACTAAACTTTTGTTTTCTACATGACTTACTTAACTAGCTATCCCTTTTTATTTTAATTTCCTATTGTTTTAATGTATGCTTTGGTAACCACCTTATTAAACACAGACGCTATTGAATATTACATTTAAAGGTTTAATGGCATCATTGGCTGTATAAAGAAAGTATAACGATAAGATATCAAATTACTTAAAATTAGTGAGGTAGAAAAGTAAACCCGAAAGATCGAAAGGGTGATAATATTCTTTGTTAATTATTTAATCTCCACTATCCAAGTGAACATCTTGAATTTAAGTTGAACGAAAAAATGTCACATGCTCATTCCATTCATTATTCTATGTGTAAGAATAGAAATGTACTCTAAAGGGAAACCCCACTATCTGTTCGTGAAATACAAACATTAGGTAAATATCTTTATTTATATCCAACATCTTCACTTTTACAGCGTAGATTTTTGTGTTTACAGATATCATCTTGAACTCTTCAAAAATATAATAGTTTTTCCAAATACGTTTGTTCTTATATTTAACGGATGTTTCTGTTTTCAGGTTAAATCATAAAAAAGATTGGCTGACCGAAATCAAATATTTTTAAAGCCTACATGAATATAACCAACGAAAATTTGTCCATCTCACTCGTATTAACACAGATAAAATTCAATTACATAACTGTGAATTGCCATCCAGATTCATTAAAGTAATATTAGAATAGATGGATCAAACTGCTCGATTTTTATAATTAATGACAATTCATTCTTCGTTTGGTACAAATTTTATTTTCTTCATTTTTTTGCAGCAGCACCTATATGTACATCTCACAGCTGATATTTTTATGGCTTGCTTTGCTTTTAGTATTTGTGTATTAATGTTCGTTAATTATAGTTTATGTAAGTGCTTGGTTTATATCGTTGCTGCTGTTATTTTATATAGTTATCTTTACTTGTCTTAATTTATTACAGCTGCACGTGTTTGACCTTATTTTGATAGTCTACTTTAATTGACATTACAGGAGTTTTACTCTCGAGGTCATACTTATCAAGAGCGTCTGTCGTAAAATATTTGGCAGTTCAAGTTTGTACAGAGAAGCGAATGCATGTTTATTTTGTATGAATTTTCCGACCGCCATCTCTTTAACTTTCGGGATACTGATATGTGCCTTAGCACGATGATGTTATGTAATATAAATGCATGTAATAATGGATTTCCCCCATTTTTTACACGCATAAAATTATTACCTGAGTTCTCAGGCAGTCCTGGTTATGCCTTTTCAACAGCTGTCTACAACTGCAGTTGGCAACGACCCCGACAGGTACAAGAGAGTAAAATGTAAAGGGTCGTCTCAGAAAAATAGTAATGACCGTATATAAATATGTATATTTATATAAGTTAACATGTGGTAAAGTTAAAATTAACAATATGTATAGTCACATCCTAAGCACACATGTGTCCAAGTTAAAATTTACAACATTTATTGTCACATTCCAAGCACACATGTGTTCAAGTTAAAATTAACAACATGTATAGTCACATCCCAAACACACATGTGTCCAAGTTAAATTTAACAACATGTTTTGTCACATCCCAAGCACACATGTGTTCAAGTTAAAATTAGCATCAAGTATAGTCACACCCCAAACACACATATGTCCAAGTTAGAATTAACAAAATGTTTTGTCACATCCCAAGCACACATGTGTTCAAGTTGAAATTAGCATAATGTATTGTCACATCCCAAGCACCCATGTGTTCAAGTTAAGATTAACAACATGTATAGTCACATCCAAAGCACACATGTGTTCAAGTTAAAATAATAACATGTATAGTCACATCCAAGCACACATGTGTTCAAGTTAAAATATAGAACATGTACATGTATAGTCACATCCAAGCACACATGTGTTCAAGTTAAAATATAGAACATGTACATGTATAGTCACATCCTAAGGACACACTATACTGTCAATCTAGTCCAAGAGAAGAAGATATGAGGCATGAGTTGTCGAATTCTATCCGTTCTGATGTTTGATATTGAGGTTGGATAGTCCGTCTCAATTTCCCCGTTTTTTTCTCTTCCTTAAAACACGCTTTCAACCTGCATCACACTGGAGTTGCTGGCATGCTGTACATGTATGGGTCTCGAAGTTGGATAATCTGTCTTCAATTTCCCTGATATTTTCTCTTTCTTAAAACAGGCTATTAACCTGTAGCATACTGAGGTTGCTGACATCTTTTCATGGCCTCTTGTCGCTGATGTAGCTCTAACAGACGGGAGATCGTAAGATGTAGAGTTTTGACGTATTTCTTGATCTTAGAGCGCAGCCATTCAAGATTGTTGGTAATCATTGGCCCGTCTGTCTTCTACAAAGGCCATTTACTTTCCACACAATGTTCAGTAACATACTATGTTAGCTTGCCGACATTAATGTTACTAGAACACAACCGCGAAATTGCGGGCATTTAGAGCGTGGTTGACAGTATGTAAACTGTTGTAGGATGAATTTTTGTAAAAGATTTTATGACTGGAGAATTATAGGAAAGGTATCAAAAGTCATAGGTACTTGGGGACAGGACAATTCGTTTTAGCCCTCCTCCTTTTTTCCAAAATCCGTTATTTTTTGTTTTCTGTTAATTTCAATTATTTTCGCGTTTTTTCTGTATACTATGAATATACATATACTATAAATAAAGTGTATTTGCTATCTACTATCAATTCCAAGTTTACTATCCACGGCGGTCACTAATATATACAGAGACATATAATACATGTCATACATAATAATACAATAATTGTCCTGTCCCCAAGTACCTATGAAAATTATGTGTAATTTTAAACAGTCCTAAACGGATGTCTTGTTTATGACTTAAAAGTCCGTCCGAGGACGGAAACAATATCCGGACGCCTTTATTTTCGTTTTCCTCCCAAAATAACTCAAACGAAATAATCATAAGCGGGGATGACAAATGCGAATCTGCATGGTACCTACAGGACACAGAGGCATAATGATTAATTTATTGATGAAGGAAGAGAAGCGACACACAAAATGAGGTCTTCTCATTTAATAGTACAGAAGATTGGCTTCTCTAGATATTCTAGTGCGTTAAACCAGACATCTTCCACCTCTTTCACTGGCTCCTATAGTAACAAAACAGCACGTCGTACCAATAACTGAATGTCTGCGTAGTTGCTGTAGGATATTTGAAGGTCATAATATTATGTCTTTCTCCAGATGAATTGATAGTATCGGAAGACGCATTTCTTCTTGATGATTCTTGGAAACAGTTAAGTTCCTTCATTTTGCAATGCATCTTATTATATTTATTTATTTCTTTAAATTTTATTTTTTTTTTACTTTTAAGTTTTTACACTATTTTTTTTAATATATTGCCATTTCATTTCAATATAATTTTTATTGTGAAAAATATAATTTTTAACTTTAAACTACCTGTTTCCTTACTAGCTTTTAAACGATGAGCTTCAAGCTTCCTTGATGAAATTAGGAAAATGAAATTAACATGTATTTAAGTATTGAAAAAAATGAAACCAAAACTTGATAAATTTCATGCGTCCGAAGCTCTTTTCTGTATTTACATTTATCAGGAACGCTCAATGCCGAATGTGTGAAAGCCAATGATGTATAAGAAATTAAGAACCGAAACAGTCGAAGGGCTAGCTATATGACCAAAAAGTTATTGAGAAGAGCGGCACCTATCTATACAATGTCTGTTAATTTTGGCGTCGGATGCCTCTATAATGTACTCTTTTTTATTACAGTTCTTAATTCACCAATTTGATGTTCAAGTTAATTCCGAATTCAGTGATAACACAATCAGATTTTCTGCACTTTCCTTCAAATTTCCCGGCTAACGATTGATCTTATGTGTCGTAGATGGCGTTACTTAAGGGTTTTGGTATATTGTACATCCCAGAGGTCTTGGAAATGTAGCGGACCATCAATGTGAATTGTTGGGCATTAGTTTAATCAACGGTCAATTAGCCCGTGATGACGACCATAACACTTAAAAAGGGATAACCCCATCCGTGTGATCTCAAACCTATCTTTGAGTCAGCAGGTTGGCCTTGTTCAAACAGACCCTTCAAATCGGGAGACGGATTAATAAAAGTTTTTCCAAACTTGTTTCCGAATCCCATATTTGAATTTCATGTAACATTGTACTAATTCATTGTTATTATTTTTCATTAATAAATACTTTTTAAACTAAACAGACCCTGTAAATGTCAAAAAAATATCTAGTAACGTATGAATGGAGAGATATTAACTCTATACGCAGGTGCTTCTGGACTATTGCTACATAGGAACAAGAAGTTCATTATATTTTCCCATCCATTAAGGAAGTATCTCAACGTAAATAATGGTACAAAGAAGTGGAGAATACCCTCGCAACGAAAAATAGCGATGTGACCTTGTCCTTCAATGTTGAATGTGTACATTAAGTGTGGTGAAGATCGGTTGAGAAACAAGCCATACGGTGTCCACACGTGTGTTACGGACTGACGGACAGTCACATTACAGTACCCCCTGCACATCTTTGTTGCGAGGAGAAAATGAAATAAAAAGACATAACAAAAGCATTCCAAAAACGAGTTAATTGCTATTGACAGCTGACACAGTCTTCCATAGACTCGCAAATCTAAATATTCATAATAATGTTATAACAGATAAAAAGGATTCGAATGTAAAAGGATTGCAGTATTTATTTTTTTGACTTGAAGGATTATACAACTCAACGTCAATTGTATTATATGGGAGAGAGAAAAAAATCCAAAATAATTCTTAATTTTAAAACTTAAGGCTCGCGTTGTTATTAATTCACATTGTTTGTTACAGTAGTTTCATTTTATACTCACAGAGTTCTGTTTCTGTTTGATGCATACTCAAATAGCTCGTAACTTTCTCCTGAACTGTTAGTCGAATATTAAGACACACTACTACATCTACACTCCGTCCCCTTGTGCCAGTGCCATGATAGATGCTGGAATAATGTAAATTTAATGT